ATCGCGATTTCGATTCCATTTCGATTTATCGTGCAGCCCTAGTCTCAAATCGTGCACACTCAAACGCATCCCATTATGGAAGTGGAAAAAAATCTAATTTGTTGTGGGCCAAGACACCAAGATGCAAAACAACATTTAAAAAATGGTGGTTTTGAATAAGAATACATAAAAATAGCTCAAATTTAAAATAAAGGACAATAAAAATGGTCAAGTAACCTCCACTGGACCACTTGAGAAATAGATTGACCCATACTGCACTTTATATAAAATTCTTTCCAATACTTCATATACTCTTCATGACTAGTCCTTAAAGAGTAGACACTTGTTTATTTAGTAAAAGAGACAATGAGCTTCTGCTGAGGCTGATTGCCAACCTGAACATGCTGATGAGAGATGAGAGTGTGAATGTGGTGAAGAAGGCCATTCTGACATTCACTCAGCTATACAAAGTGGCTTTACAGGTATCATTCGTTTTCACTTAAATATACAGAATTCATTGTTTGGTTGGGCTGATATTTATAAGTGTCTGACATGTTCTATATTTGTTCTGTTAGTGGCTGGTGCGCACTAAGAGTGTCGAGGACATGCAGGAGCCATGCTGGGATATGGTGACCCAGATGAAAGAGGATGTTCTGGCATTGCTAGACTCCGATAACGACGGAGTTCGCACTCACGCCATCAAATTCACTGAGTCCCTCATCATCACTCTGTCACCACGGACACCTGACTCTGATACGCCCAAGAAACAGGAGGGAGACATCAGCCTGGACAAAATCCCCAAAGACCACACGTATATTCGTTATGGTAGGAGCAGAATCACATTTTCATTTTCACACAATTTTGAATTGTTTTTTTTTCTTCTATTCATTAATGTTTAATAGGGCTGCAAAATTTATCAAAATAATACCAAAATAACAAAATGGCTTGCAATATGAATATTGATTTAATTAAATAATTATATGCTGCATGTTTGAGTGAAGTGCAGCATGCACACATCTCTTGAATCAGTATTTTTTAACCCTTAACTAAGCCACATATCTTCTATGTAGATATCGGAAAACAA